TGTGGTGATGTGCGGTGATGTCGTCACACTGATCTCAACTGTAGCAAGATGTGGTGATGTGCGGTGATGTCATCACACTGATCTCAACTGTAGCAAGATGTGATGGTGTGCGGTGATGTCGTCACACTGATCTCAACTGTAGCAAGATGTGATAGTGTGCGGTGATGTCGTCACACTGATCTCAACTGTAGCAAGATGTGGTGATGTGCGGTGATGTCGTCACACTGATCTCAACTGTAGCAAGATGTGGTGATGTGCGGTGATGTCGTCACACTGATCTCAACTGTAGCAAGATGTGGTGATGTGCGGTGATGTCGTCACACTGATCTCAACTGTAGCAGGGAATATAAGGGGGTATGACTGTGCTCACAATGACATCACTCCAAACTCAACTATAGCAGGAGAACCTGTGAAGATCTGGGGTGGAATAGGTCTTCAGCAACCCATGCTTGCTGTAAAAGGCTACTAAAGGGATCAGGTGGTCAGACTTGCCCAATTGTGTAGATAAATGCTCATGATGTCAATCACTGGATTGTCTGGTCTAGACTTGATTATTTACAGACCGCCAACCTATAGCTGGAATATTGCTGAGTGCAGCGTTAAACAAGAAAGAAAGAAAGAAACTATAGCACACAGTCATATCTACCTTGACCACGGCAGAGCAGTGAATGTAAACATGAGCAACGATCCGCGACACTGGAGCAGGATGACACACAGTCAGCCCTATCAAGGCATTCAACCACTCAGTCCAATTTCAGATGTGGTACAGTGCACCTGTTATATTGTGACACAGAATTCCCAGGTCATTCATCACCAAGATCAAAATAAAAGGGTAAACAAGAAGACTGTTATCAACATCCTCTTCCCTTGTTCACAAAATCACAAAATACAGTCAACACCTAAATATATGTCATATATAATGTATACCAATGAAAAGTGCTAAAGCTTGTAAGTACAAGGGATGTTATGATGACGTAGTAATGGAGGCACTGGATCAGAATTTTGTGAGCAATTTTAAGGACATCAAGGGGCGGTCGGGTAACCTAGTGGTTAAAGCGTTTAGACCCGGTAAAGCTGAAGACCCGGGTTCGATTGTACATGGGTACAATGTGTGAAGCCTATTTCTGGTGTCCCCCGCCGTGATATTGCTGGAAATTTGCTAAAAACCGCGTAAAACCATACTCACTCATTCACTTAAGAACACCATTGCTTGAAACATGAAAATAAATTTCATCTTAAGAAACCTGGACGTACTTGGGACCTCTTTTAATAAAACATGCCACTGACATCCCACTGATTCTTTCTCGAGCACCAACTACAGAGTACACTGATGATGTTATACCGATGCCAGCAGCCTGCTTGCACATGTACAGTTACACCATGGGGAAATGTTCTTAGTATGGAAGGAGATCCTAAAGCTGCCTGAGATACATACCAAGTTTGAGAAATTCATCAGCATGATAAGAGTGGAAACCATGGGAATAATGTGGGTTGTGAACCAACAAGCACTACAACCAGGCAGGAACTTGAACCACTGGGCTACTTGGGCCAACATACAGGTACAAGCAGCGAGTTGTTTCACATATAATGACGACTGCCAACACCACCAAAACATACAGTTCATTAACATGGATAAGATGCGACAAACAGGATCAGGTGGTCAGGCTCGCTGACTTGATCGATACGTGTCATCGAATCCCAATTGCCTGGATTGATGCTCATGATGTCAATCATTGGATTGTCTGATCCAGATTTGATTATTTTCAGACCGCCATTATATATCGGGAATATTGCTGAGTGTGGCATTAAACAACAAACAAACAAAAATTAATATGGTATGGAAAACTGGCACTGCTGCAGCAAGTTTAGCCAATACGAAAAATTCAATTACCAAAAGGGCTTCCCTACATACACACCTACATTACAAACCAAGCTTGAAGCTGAAACAAGTCAAACTGACTACGTACACAAACATCTAGATCACTGATGAGGCGGATCAAGTGGAAGAAGATGGGAGTGCAGACACACAAGTACAGACACCTGGAGATCAGGAGGAGGCCTGTCTGGGCAATCCACACCCTGATGCATAGACTTGTACAAGTCTCTAAGGCAATATTTATTATTCAAATTCATGATTTCTTGATCATATAAATAATGAGACCAAATTGTCCCTTTTAGAGACTGGCATCCACATATCTAGACTTGCCTGTTATAAGGATATAATTACTACACACCCATGGACTTATCATTTTACAGCCTTGGAGCAAGGCTACCTGAGGTACAACCTACACAGATCAGTCATGGAATACTCCATTGAGTGTGAATGTGTGCCACACATTGGCGCCAACGGGTTCAGCTATATCGGGAGCCTCTGGCAGGTAGCCTGGCACGAAGTAGAGGCTGCACCAGTGTTTCGGCTTTTGGAATGAACACGAAACAACATACTGAACAACATATTTTGTTCCTGTTCTCTCATTTGCTATCAGCCCAGAACCACTGTATCCTGGTAGCTATGTGACACAAGTCTGTACAGAGGTTTATCACCACCTAAGGTCACTGGGCCCAAAGTGAGGGAGCGATTGAGTCAGTTGGGTTTAACACTGCTTTGAATAGCGTTAAAACCAATTTACTTTCACACTTACTTAACCTAATATTGTCACCTGTGTTTTGGGCCCAGGGACCTTATCCAGTAATAGAAAATAGCACCAGTGTTGTAGTCTTTACTAAACTGCCCAATAGTTAAGGTTGGTTGGTTGTTGTTTAACGCCACACTGGTAACGGGGTAGGTAGATTTTAAGGGGAAATATTGCCAATTTTGCTGTTCATGATGAACAGTACCACAGTATCAAGTCTTTGAAAGACATTTAGATTGGTTGGTTGTTTTTACGCCTCACTCAGCAATATTCCAGCTATATGATGGTGGTCTGTAAATAATCGAGTCTTTACCAGACAATCCAGTGATTGACATTATGAGCATCTATCCACGCAATTAGGGTCAATGACATGCATCAACCAAGTCAGCGAGCCTGACCACCAGACCAATAGTTAAGGTATCATAAGGACCAGTAGAAATTTGCCATTTTAGAGTTTTACTAAATGCTAACATCATAAGGACTAGTGGACTCAAACATTTAGTTTCTATCGCTGCATCTATCTTCAGGGTGTTGATTTGATAAACTCAAGTAAGAGAGTTAAATGCTGAAAGTATACTCACAAACAAAAGAAATGCAAATACCATACATGTTGGTTAATATATGAAGAATTACTCATGTTCAAGATATATTAGATTGGTTCGATGCACAAACGATCATACTGGTATGTTGTGTGAACAGAAGCTCATGAAGGCATCACATGTGACATCATAGATCCCTGACTCGAGATGCACCATTTGTCTCGTGCAGGATTAGCGTGTAAAGTTTGGAAATCACGTGTAGCATATTGTGATACGAATAAAGACAAGCTGTGGTAACACGTGACTGTTTGTTAGTTTTGTCATTAAGTGGTACACATTGGAAACATCTTTTCTTAAGTACATACTTCTCTATATGTTTTTATGGTTCGCGTTTCTTTTGACAATGAGTATATAATAGGAATCATCCTATGTGATTCAAGAAATACAAATAGTCAAAATGTAAAGCAGTTTTGATATTTGGTCTATAAAATCCTATAACCATCACCTTCCAATAATGAATAGGCTTGTTATCTACTGCTATAAATAGCTGTAAATATACATTACTGATAGTCATGTGGCGTCATTCATGACATTCTTGCATCAACTGTCTTGCCTCAGGAAACAATTTTGCATCACTCAATGGAAGACGAAGGCTCATTCTGGTATCGACATATTTTTTCGGTGTTATCAATGTTATTGTTTATCAAACATAAATTGGGTCAATTAATAATGGTGTATTTTCCAGCTTCGCAGATCGTGGTCGGAGTGATTACCTCGTCTGTAGGGTCCTTACAATAATTAGCTAGGACACCTTCAAGGTTTCTTTCTGACTTGCAAGCCATGCACAGTGACTATGTCTCAAGTGTCGCTCTCACACTGTCTGCCACAGAACTGGAGGCAGAAGCCATAGAGTGGTGTTAAGTTGATATATTTGAAGAAGAATCTATTGGGTTGTTGGAAACAGGATGATCAGGGCTCGAGGCTTACATGCGGCTGTCGCATGACACTCGTCTCAGTCAACTTCACATTCAGGCGACCTTCACCTTTACATGATCAGGAATCAGACAGGCGACCTTCACTTTTACATGATCAGGAATCAGACATAAAATTTCAGGTATTGTGGTGCTGCTCATTGCAAATACAGGTCTATTTTTATCACATTAACTTCAAGCTCATTCCATCTCCAAAGCTGTATGTGTGCTCGTGTCCAGTTCAGATCAAAATGGACAACGCTACTTCTCCACAGTTATTACTTTCTTATAATATAAAATTCAACAATTAAACAGGACAGCTCATTTTTATGAAAGTTTGTGTGTGTGTTATACTGATTCAGCACAGAGAAGATTCAATGTGATCCTGTTCACTCAGACCTTAGACTAATGCTAGTCTCTGAAATATATAATTTTGATGGAAACAAGCAACTACATTTAAGTTGAAAAGAAGACCCAGTGAGATGGGAACCCTTTGGAAAATCTAGACTTGCTTCAATTTGGATGCGATAACAGAATCTGTTTGCCACCCAAAAGTATCATAAAAACTTGATATATCTCAAGAAAAAATGCTTAGAATTGCTTCACTGATCTCATGTGCCTCTTCAATCTTTAGGCTTAGCTTGTGTTAGGGTAGGGTAGGTTAACCCCAACTCTATCCATATCCTTTGGATCCTTGAATGAAAATAGTGGCAAACATATTCTACAGCAGCTCCCATTACAGTAAGGGCTGGGCAGAAGAGAAAATAATATGGTTCAAGGACTGTGAGACTAAGACCTAAACTGATCGGGTCATTGTTACAATTGTAACATTGTTACACATGTTACACATGGCCTACCATGAGTTTGTCCTCATCCATGGTCTTCAGGTCCCGCCCTGCGATGTTTTTCTCTCGGAACAGCTCCACGTAGCGATAGAGGTTGAGAGCTGCCATCCACTCGATTACATGGTTGACGGTCCAGTTCTCCAGCGGCTGAAAGGAAAACACAAAATACAAAATATATTAGTGAAAGAATTATCCATTTTGTTTTGTTTGTTTGTTGTTTAACGCTGCACTCAGCAATATTCCAGTTAAGGCTGCAGTCTGTAAGTAATCGAATCTGGACCAGACAATCTAGTGATTGACATCGTGCTCATTGATCCACACAATTGGGATATGATGACATGCATAAATCAAATCAACGAGCCTGACCACCCAATCATGTTAGTCACCTCTTATGACAAGCATTGTTGCTGAAGAACTATTCTACCAGGGATCTTCACGGGTCAAATGTATTTGTGAAAGAATTATCCAGTTTATGTGTTCTTGAGAACTTAAAACATTTCTGACTGAACACGACTTGACTGTTACAAGAAGATGAAGCACACACATATCTGAGTACACACATCAGCAACCTTGCAGTTATTCTCAGCAAACTAACGAACCTGATTAGCTCAACGGTATGTTGAAATCTATTGAATATATCAACTTAATTTCATCTATCAAAACTCAGTAAAACTGTCAAAATATGGTTTGATATAATTTGCAGCACTTGATCAATAACCCATTGCGCGAGATGTCAAGGATAAAACTAACAAGTGTGGAACTGATTGCTTTGTGAGGGAACGGAGGCAATGACTATCTGGCATGAACACAAGCACTGATACATCCTGCTCAGAGAATAAAAGACAGATTTATTTAAGTGTGTTTTACTTCTGAAGCATACTTTGACATTCACACAAATTTGTAAAACTACACAAATCATGATGTCGGAACAATGGTAGGCATTTTTTTATATGCAATATGGCCGTCGGGAAGTGCAAAAGAACATCTCATTATTAGAAAGGTATGAAAAAAAGTCCTTTGACTTAATTTCAATGTCTTTTTCTATACAAGACAGTTGAAAAACTCCAAAAAGGAATTATTCAAAAACATTTGGCCATACGACCTTGGAGTTAATTTCAAAGTGGGTGAAACTGAAGCCTTGCCAACATCTTGTGGTTCAGAAGTAAGACAGTTAAGAAAAGAAATTTGAAGAACTCAATTATTGAAATTTCCCATTACAGTTTAAACAAGTCAATTTATACAGTTCTGACATTTATATTACATTTTCTGTCAAGGCCATAATAGTCAGTGGTGGTGTTTCTCCATTAACCTACATTACACTGGAGGCAACCACCACCATACCGGGTCACAATAAGTACAGGTATTCATGGTAGCTGTCATTAGGGAAAATAATCCTGTCAGCTTAGCTACAGCGTAAAGACTAGGTCACATCTGTGCCTTCTGATTGGTTAAAACCAGGTAACCAGGCCAAACCAGTTGACAAAACACGTGGACGTTCTCATCTACGAATCAATACATTATTAATTCAAGTCCTGGAACATGTTTTATCAAACATACCACTGACACACATGTTAATGGCTACTTAATATTTAATGTCACGTCTGTAAAAAACTTTCCATAGAAACTGGTGACATTTTAACATGAACAATTCTAAGGCTTAACATCTTTCCTCTAATTTAGACCCAAATAGTTATATTAGCATTTGTGTGAAGTTGTTTATAGGCGGAGGCCATGCAACTTAGTGTAGGTCTGAACAAAATACTGCTGTCATTCTCATTAAAGAGTAAGTTTCTACATATGGTAACGGGGTAGGTACATTTTAAGGGGAAATATTGCCAATTTTGCTGTTCATGATGAACAGTACCACAGTATCAAGTCCTTGAAAGACATTTAGAGAGGTTGGTCGGTTGGTTGTTTTTACGCCGCACTCAGCAATATTCCAGCTATATGACGGTGGTCTGTAAATAATCGAGACTGGACCAGACAATCCAGTGATTGATATCACGAGCATCGATCCACGCAATTGGGATCGATGACATGCATCAACCAAGTCAGCAAGCCTGACCACCCGATCCCATCAGTCGCCTCTTACGACTACCATAGTCACCTTTTACGGCAAGCATGGGTTGCTGAAGACCTGTTCTACCCCAGATCTTCATAGGTTGAAAGGCATTTAGAAGTGATACACATAAGGAAGAGAAGTTATGGATGTCAACTTCTCTATTATGGATATCACTGCATCATCTCCATGTTGATGTCCCATCAAGTCTTTGAAACGACTTTTATCAGCGCCAAATTATCTGTTGGCTCCCCTTGTTAAGTTTTCACCATTATCTTCTTTCTTTTGTTATTCTAACAGGAAAACATATATGTTCTCTGCTTCATAGCATTTATTCACCTGATAAAGGAGTAAGTATATACTCCAAGCCATTGTTGTCCTCATAATAAAGAAATTGACATCCATAAATTTCCTTCCTTAGTGCCACAGTAATTTGAAAACCCCCATTAAGGTTCAGCATCTTCAATTAGGGTGATTTCAGGGATCGGAATTTCATCACCTGTTTTTTGCCCTTCTGACTGACTGAGACTAGAGTATGTGAGGTGAGGCGAAATTGGGTTTAACGTCATGTCCAAGATTATTGCACTTATATAGCGACGTGCATGCACGTGTGTGTGTGGCTGCTTGTACTAGTCCGGACTTATGCCGATTATTAGTGCTAGCTCACTGAGATTCCACAGTTTAACATGAATACCCCACTCAGACACAGTATACTGACTCTGAGCCAACCAGTCCTTGTTTTAGCCCCTTAATGCCGCGTGCCAGACAGGGTAACAACAACTACCATCTTTTAACGTCTTTTGGTAAGACACTGCCGGGGATCGAACCCTGGACCTTCCGCTCTCCGGGCGGATGCACTACCTCTAGACCACGAAGGCGGTCTGACTGGGGTATGAGTGAGTGAGTGAGTGAGTGAGTGAGTGAGTGAGTGAGTGAGTGAGTGAGTGAGAGTATTGATCAATGCAGCAGTTGGAATATCTCAGGTCTATTGGTCGAAACCAGTCAACTCACTTTCCGATATCATGAACAATAACTCATGCTGGAAGGGTTGCAAATGCTACTAATATTTATGTACATTTGTACGTGAGTTATTTATTTGACGGCGGTCTGTAAATAATCAAGACCAGACCAGACAATCCTGTGATTGACATCATGAACATCTATCCAAACAATTGGGATATGATGACATCCATCAACCAAGTCAGCGAGCCTGACCACCCTAACCTGTTAGTTGCCTCTTACGACAAGCAAAGCACACTTTTACGGCAAGCATGGGTTTTTGAAGACCTATTCTACCCCGGATCTTCACTTGACATGTGTTAATCTAAATGACCAATCATATGGCATTTAACTCAATGTTATACCATAGATGAACATATTTCTGATAATATAACACACAAAATCTCTAATCAAGAAACTAGAAATCCTGTCCTGCTAATTACTAGCTGTCGGCGTCTGCTAATACCGACACACTTGGAGCCCAAGGTGTTGGCGAAGCTGGTGAAGTCGCCTTAATACTGAAACAATTCACTTAAAGGTGGCCAAGACGTCGCCCTGAGGTGACTTCTACATTGATAGAGTGCGCCCTTACATCTAACCTACGTCACTCACTCCATCGCCTGCGATAGCAGCGTTAACGTCATATCCTCCTTCCTGAAGTAATTAGCTTATCGCCTATCTAGGTCAGTGTGGAACGTCCAAGGATGAGAGGCACTTTCATGTCCTGCACCACAATTAATTACATCGCCGTCACCAATTCTCCAGGTATATATGTGGCACTGAAAGAACAGCATCTGCCTCAAGACAGATCCTTTTGTAACCCCTTGAATATAATTACATGATGCTGGCTTGATTGAATGGTATGTCAAGCTGTTCAAATACATTACATGGTGAGTAAGGAGTCCCAGAAGACCTACATTCTATGAAATGGGAATCTTTAAAGCATGAGTTTAAAGACACCATGTCGCTAAGATATACGCAGGCCTTGAGTTATTTTTATCAATAAAATCAAAGTATAATCTTCTCCTTTCAGATCTGAATGTGATTGAAATATGTGTACTACCTACGTACTATATGTATAAATATTTCATGTAAACATTAGAATTATGGGGCAAGTGTGCCATTTCCTGAATGTGGAAGATTGAGTGAGGAACAAAACATTCACTGACAACAGCTGTGTCAGGTATTACTGACAAGAGATGTAATAGTGTTAGTAACATAATACGTCTTGAATTATTTTTTGGACACATAATCATTACTTTTCTCAAATGTTTCCAGTTGCCATAAGCAGTGTACACTGATTCTGCACAGCACGTGAGTGAGTGAGTGAGTGAGTGAGTGAGTGAGAGGGCATGTAGCTTATCAGAATTTTAACAGTTTTTCACTGGCCTTTAGTAGGGCTGGCTACAAAGATTGATAATCGGAATTATCGTTGATGGGAAGAAATATTAACAATTATTGATATGAAAATCGTGTCATTGACATCTTCCACAAACTATTGTGATGAAATAAAGTTTTTATTAACAGAAACTGACTTGGTATTGTCAATTGCAGAAGACGGAAAGCAACTGTTTGTGTTACATCTCAAATATCCACAAGGTATTCCATGCATACACGTGTCACCACTCACTAATAACATGATATTTCTTTCAGAGCTTTTTGCAAATTTGCTCAGTCACTTCTCTGATATTTATTGATAATCGATCGATACTTAGTTAACAATCATCAATCTCTATGATCTATATCGTAGCCAGCTACCTGTTAGCAAAGTATTGGAGGTGACCCCAAGCTGTGGTGACCTCTATGTTTACAACACCGCTGAAGTCAATTAGACAGGGTATGGTGCTAACACACCAAGGAACATAATCATCTGGGATTCAAACCCAAGACCATCAGATCCAGGTTAAATAATACAGATTGCAGACCGACTTGTGGCATCTAAAATCACAGGGACGACGCAAGATGGGAGTTTTCATGTAACCCCAAAGCATCTGTCTCCACAAGTACCAGCTCTGAAGGTGAACAACAGAACATTGATTTCAATTATGAGAATTTGCAGCCAATATATACATATAAGCCAGCAGCTGGAGGGTATCACAATGGCTCTTTATACTTGGAAGTGACAAATACATTCTCAGTATATATATATAGATATCCAAAGGTAGCCGACAAATATTTTGTTGGATTCACATTTATTAACTTTTTTCCTTTGTATGATAATCGATCCCCGAGCAATGAATATCTTATGAGAATGTTATCCCTTTTAAAAAAAATATGGAATTGACTTTGTAGTCGGAATAGTTTGAAGTAAAATAAATGGATATGATAATTCATATCCTACAAATACAGAACACGAAATGTACAGTACAACAAATCCTTCGCCCACAGTCATGAAACACATTTGCTCTGTACCTAATCCCTTGTGGATCATTAACTGATAAATACACTCATGGTGTGGACTGGTCAGATGTATGGGACACAGCGGTCCTAACTGCTATTCATGTCCTCAGTGATAAATTAGAGACAGGTAAATGACATCTCCATACCTATAGCACATGGACATTCATTGCCATAGCAACCAGGTGTGATTTCCTTCCAAGTGACAAGGTCAAAGCTTCACTGTTGCTTTGAATAATATGCTTGATAGTCTTTCACAGTGAATAGGTCAATACCCTCACAAGAAGTGCCCAGCTGAGTTACATCTTTGTGGACATTTATAAAGAACTGTATTGCTTTATTACATACCTGCATGTGACCGGCACACTGCTGTCGCATATCTCACTTATACCATGTTTAAAGGGTAAAACTTGTGTCTGTCTCTACTTGAATGCTTCTTGAGAAATCTCAAGTATGTTGCAATGTACTTTACGAGGAATGTATAAACATTTAATATTTAACCCCTGGGTCATATGTATGATACACCACACTCCACTTCCCACTTGTAACCTTCATCCTGTATACAATACACCACACCCAGCTGAGGTCTACATCTAGTATACAATACACCACACCCATCTGAGGTCTACATCCTGTATACAATACACCACACCCAGCTGAGGTCTACATCCTGTCTACATCCTGTATACAATACACCACACCCACCTGAGGTCTACATCCAGTAAACAATACAACACACCATGATGAGGTCTACATCCTGTATACAATACACCACACCCAGCTGAGGTCTACATCCTGTATACAATACACCACACCCAGCTGAGGTCTACATCCTGTATACAATACACCACACCCACCTGAGGTCTACATCCAGTAAACAATACAACACACCATGATGAGGTCTACATCCTGTATACAATACACCACATCCATCTGAGGTCTACATCCAGTATACAATACACCACACCCAGCTGAGGTCTACATCCTGTATACAATACACCACACCCACCTGAGGTCTACATCCAGTAAACAATACAACACACCATGATGAGGTCTACATCCTGTATACAATACACCACACCCAGCTGAGGTCTACATCCAGTATACAATACACCACACCCAGCTGAGGTCTACATCCTGTATACAATACACCACACCCACCTGAGGTCTACTCCAGTATACAATATACCACACCCATCTGAGGTCTACATCCTGTATACAATATACCACACCCAGCTGAGGTCTACATCCAGTATGCAATACACCACACCCAGCTGAGGTCTACATCCAGTATACAATACAACACACCCAGCTGAGGTCTACATCCTGTATACAATACACCACATCCATCTGAGGTCTACATCCTGTATACAATACACCACACCCAGCTGAGGTCAACATCCTGTATACAATACACCACACCCAGCTGAGGTCTACATCCAGTATACAATATACCACACCCAGCATACAGTACACCACACCAAGCTGAGGTCTACATCCTGTATACAATACACCACACCCATCTGAGGTCTACATCCTGTATACAATACACCACACCCAGCTGAGGTCTACATCCTGTATACAATACACCACACCCAGCTGAGGTCAACATCCTGTATACAATACACCACACCAAACTGAGGTCTACATCCTGTATACAATACACCACACCCATCTGAGGTCTACATCCTGTATACAAAACACCACACCCATCTGAGGTCTACATCCAGTATACAATACACCACACCAAGGTGAGGTCTACATCCTGTATACAGTACACCACACTCACCTGATATTCCCTGCCAGTCCACTCACATGACTAAACCCTAGTTTGGGGCCCTGGGGGACAGTCCACTCATCCAACTATACTCCCGTGTGGGGCCCCGGGGGACAGACTTCTCACATGACTATACTCCCGTGTGGGGCCCTCGGGGTCAGTCCACTCACCCGACTATACTCCGGTGTGGGGCCCCGAGGGACAGACCCCTCACATGACTAAACCCTAGTGTGGGGCCTCGGGGGTCATATCCCTCACATGACTAAACCCTAGTGTGGGGCCCTTGGGGTCAGACCCCTCACATGACTAAACCCTAGTGTGGGGCCCTGGGGGTCAGACCCCTCACATGACCAAACCCTAGTGTGGGGCCCTGGTGGTCAGACCCCTCACATGACTAAACCCTAGTGTGGGGCCCTGGGGGCCAGTCCACTCACCTGACTACACTCCAGGGTGGGTTCCAGGTTGGTGGTCTTCTCCCGTGTGCAGTGGGAGTTGTTCACAGTCCCAGAACACAGAGTGTGGCAGCACTTTCCACAAGCTGAAACAAAAACATTACATTTGTAAAACAACTCCGGAAGGCATAACTGGCTACTTGGAAGCAGGATGCATATATTGAACCACTGGCGCTCTCCCTTGATCTTGTTTTCTCAACACCCTGCCTGACTTGGGTCTCATCACACAGTCAGTACACCACTGCAGACTGATTGTATCCCAGAACATGATCCCTGATTGAAGCAAAGAACGTGATCCCTGATTGTACCCCATGCCTTGTACCCCAGAACATGATCCCTGATCGTACCCCAGAACGTGATCCCTGAATGTACCCCAGAACGTGATCCCTGGTTGTACCCCAGAACGTGCTCCCTGGTCGTACCCCATGCCTTGTACCCCAGAACGTGATCCCCGACTGTACCCCAGAACGTGATCCCTGGTCGTACCTCAGAACGTGATCCCTGACTGTACCCCAGAACATGATCCCTGGTCGTACCCCAGAATGTGATCCCTGGTCGTACCCCAGAACGTGATCTCTGACTGTACCCCAAAACGTGATCCCTGACTGTACCCCAGAACGTGATCCCTGGTCGTACCCTTGAATGTGATCTGACTGTACCCCAGAACGTGATCCCTGACTGTACCCCAAAACGTGATCCGACTGTACCCCAGAATGTGATCCCTGACTGTACCCCAGAACGTGATCCCTGGTCGTACCCCATGCCTTGTTCCCCAGAACGTGATCCCTGGTCGTACCCCCAAACGTGATCCCTGACTGCAGCCCAGAACGAGGTCCCCGACTGTACCCCAGAACGTGATCCCTGACTGTACCCCAAAACGTGATCCCTGACTGTACCCCAGAACGTGATCCCTGACTGTACCCCAGAACGTGATCCTTGACTGTACCCCAGAACGTGATCCCTGGTCGTACCCTTGAACGTGATCCCTGGTCATATCCCAAAACATGATCCCTGACTGTACCCCAGAATGTGATCCCTGACTGTACCCCAGAATGTGATCCCTGACTGTACCCCAGAACTTGATCCCTGGTCGTACCCCAGAACGTGATCCCTGACTGTACCCCAGAACGTGATCTGACTGTACCCCAGAACGTGATCCCTGACTGTACCACAAAACGTGATCCGACTGTACCCCAGAACGTGATCCCTGACTGTACCCCAGAACGTCATCCCTGACTGTACCCCAGAACGTGATCCCTGGTCAAACCCCAAAACGTGATCCCTGGTCGTACCCCAGAACGTGATCCCTGGTCGTACCCCAAAACGTGATACCTAGTAGTACCCCAAAACGTGATCCCTGACTGTACCCCAGAATGTGATCCCTGACTGTACCCCAGAACGTGATCCCTGACTGCAGCCCAGAACGTGATCCCTGACTGTACCCCAGAACGTGATCCCTGACTGTACCCCAGAATGTGATCCCTGACTGTACCCCAGAACTTGATCCCTGACTGCAGCCCAGAACGTGATCCCTGACTGTACCCCAGAACGTGATCCCTGACTGTACCCCAGAACGTGATCCCTGACTGTACCCCAGAACGTGATCCCTGGTCGTACCCTAATATGTGATGCCCAATACAACCAAAGACATTCAGTCTGAGCTGATACACCCAAACTATCTGAAACTGTCAAACTGTTGTTTGGCTTGCCGTACTCGTTGCAGTTAAAAGGCCACGATATGGCTTAAATATTGCCAATGAGACGTTAAATCTTAACTCACTTACTCCCTTCCGGGGAAATTCCCATACTGAGAGAACATCCAAATACCAATTCTACAGGGAAAGGGGCATTAAATGGACAATGGTTGGGTGCGCATCCATTTTTACATTCCAGTGTTCCAGATGGCTTTTGAAACTGCCAGTCCTTGTGGACTGGCAACTCTTTACCAGTCCCCCCTAATTTTTGCCAATCCCATCCTTCATCAAATAAAAAAAAGTATGAAAATTATGTGGTTTTAATTCTTTGAACATCATGTTCAGTGCAAAGATGTCACACAAACTTGTCACAATTTTCTTCTTTTTTAAAAATATTTCGAGATAAAGTCGCTACAAATGGATATCTAAACTAGAAATAGACAAGTGGAAACCCTGATGGTAACAGACAAGCTGGCTTTGTTCGAAAAATGTACTTATATTAATATCACCGATGTTTTGTTCACCAACAAAGATTTATAACGTCCACAGGGACTTGGCAGTCACATGAATTACCGGTCCAAGCCTAATTTTACCGATAAAAAAATGGTTATTACCGGTAAATGGACACGCTGATTTTCACCTAAAAATCCTAATCATTCTATATTCAAGTGGGTAAATGGCTGGATTACCATTTAAATAGGGGTTGCTTATAATGCTAAGATGTACACATTCTTTGCAGATTAGGAATATATAGGGAATACATATATTAGTTTTATACTGTCTAGGTCTTGAAGTGAACAGTTTTGTGTTTCTCACAATATTTGAAGTATATTTGCATTTCTGTAAAACAGCATACCAATAGTGACATCAAAGATCACCTCGGAAGTGGCTCTCTTGAACAGGATGTCAAAATGGCATTTTGCCCAATACTGACGTCCAGACAATTAACAATTCGGGTTATCCAAGCCAATTATTCTATATTTTGATTGGTTCCGCCAACTTGGCAAATGGTATCACATGACCAAAGAATCTTGGCTTATCTCGGCTTAAATACCGATTCCATTTTGAGAGAGAAAGATTTAGTAAGATGAGGTAAATCAGTTATCAAATAATTGTTAGTGTCATTGATGTGATAAACCAATTCAATAAATGATCTGACAAATATATAAATGAAGTCCCCTCGCAGAAACTACTTTCAGTTGACAGATGTGCAGTTACGTCCTCAATTCTTCTAACTATTGTAAACATCCCCTAAATTAATAGGTACTTGTCTCCTAAGCAAAGCTAAATACAAATTTGGGCAAGTAAGCCGGTCAGCTTAGGATAAAAAACAACTCAAGACGTCATGTGATTTGAACATCTGGCATTATTATATGCATCTGTTTCGGAACTTCTGTAATGTTTCCTCATCAAAAATATGGCGTTCACAAAAAGTCATGTAAGTTGAGTTATGTATGAATTAATTTTTTCAAAGAGGACAGGGAGTGTGACTGGTGAAAAGAGAGTAAAATGCGTTGGTACTGCAAACCTGCTCTTATTTGCAAGATGTATTTGATAACAGTTGGATTTGATGACGGAAACCCAACATGTGATTTCCTTCATTGCAAGTGGTCAGGCAGACATTGTCGTATTCATTCAAACCCATGCACTCTTGGGCAGGAAGTAGTTGTAGAATATAAATTAAACCTGGCTATTAATAAATGGGTACCAAATTTCAATTGAGTCATAATTAGATCCAAATAAAGTTACATAATGATGGTCCTATTTCATAAGAAAACATAACAAATTCCAAGATTTTTATACTATATAGACAGAAAAGTTCACAATGATGTTTTGGTGAAATCAAACATCCTACATTTCTGAGATGTTTGTAAACTGAACTAAAGGTAAAGTACAAACCTTCACACTTCTTCCCTACTTTTGTGGTCCCCCAGATGTAGTCATTGCCTGAAACAGAAGTACAATCTATTAGCTTGTAGGCAGACAGAGGAACAATCCATTTAATTGAGGGCAGACAGAAGAACAATCCATTAGCATGTGGGCAGACAGAGGAACAATCCATTAGCTTGTGGGCAGACAGAGGAACAATCCATTAGCTTGTTGGCAGACAGGAACAATCCATTAGCTTGTGGGCAGACAGAGTAGAGGAACAATCCGTTAGCTTGTGGGCAGACAGAGGAACAATCCATTAGCATGTGGGCAGACAGAGGAACAATCCATTAGCATGTGGGCAGACAGAGGAACAATCCATTAGCATGTGGGCAGACAGAGGAACAATCCATTAGCTTGTGGGCAGACAGAGGAACAATCCATTAGCTTGTGGGCAGACAGAGGAACAATCCATTAGCATGTGGGCAGACAGAGGAACAATCCATTAGCTTGTGGGCAGACAGAGGAACAATCCATTAGCATGTAGGCAGACAGAGGAACAATCCATTAGCATGTGGGCAGACAGAGGAACAATCCATTAGCTTGTGGGCAGACAGAGGAACAATCCATTAGCATGTGGGCAGACAGAGGAACAATCCATTAGCTTGTGGGCAGACAGAGGAACAATCCATTAGCTTGTGGGCAGACAGAGGAACAATCCATTAGCATGTGGGCAGACAGAGGAACAATCCATTAGCTTGTGGGCAGACAGAGGAACAATCCATTAGCATGTAGGCAGACAGAGGAACAATCCATTAGCATGTGGGCAGACAGAGGAACAATCCATTAGCTTGTGGGCAGACAGAGGAACAATCCATTAGCATGTGGGTAGACAGAGGAACAATCCATTAGCATGTGGGCAGACGGAGGAACAATCCATTAGCTTGTGGACAGACAGAGGAACAATCCATTAGCATGTGGGCAGACAGAGGAACAGACCATTAGCATGTGGGCAGACAGAGGAACAATCCATTAGCATGTGGGCAGACAGAGGAACAATCCATTAGCATGTGGGCAGACAGAGGAACAATCCATTAGCATGTGGGCAGACAGAGGAACAATCCATTAGCTTGTGGGCAGACAGAGGAACAATCCATTAGCATGTGGGCAGACAGAGGAACAATCCATTAGCATGTGGGCAGACGGAGGAACAATCCATTAGCTTGTGGACAGACAGAGGAACAATCCATTAGCATGTGGGCAGACAGAGGAACAATCCATTAGCTTGTGGGCAGACAGGAACAATCCATTAGCTTGTGGGCAGACAGAGGAACAATCCATTAGCATGTGGGCAGACAGAGGAACAATCCATTAACTTGAGGACAGACATAGCAACTGTTCTATTGTATCTGCTCGTGTGAGATTACAAGCATACCGTCACTAGTGTACTACAAATATAAATGTGATAGTGAAATTCTTGCAGTTCCACATACATCTCAGTTCACAAAAATATATATAATGATTACAACTTCTTTTGGCATTTATTGCCTGGATACGCAGTATGAACTTAACTACCCAATAACTGATAATTTCTGTGAAATAGATCTTGATGTAGATGTAGTTTCAAGTTATTACTAGCTTGTTGCCAGCTGGTGAGGCCCAGTGACCAGTCAGTGACCAGTCAGTGACCAGTCAGTGACACAGAGGCACCTGTGACTAGAAGACCACCTGACCTTTAGCAAAACGCAGCTTCAACACATGTCTGTCACACTCCTGGGGGTGAGGGGAGGGGCGAGGAGGGGAGAGGCAGGAGGAAGATGACCCCTGTCCAGAAGGTCAGTAGGTGAGATAGCGGGCATTACCTACACACTGACCCCATCAAATACCTGTGGGTCACTTCAAAGTGGTAAGTGTCGTTATCAGGCTTAATGGGTATTTCCAACACACCTGTTCAAACACACCTGTCTTCATCAATATAGATTTTTGTACATTTTGTCGATTTTGGTAACATGTGATAGATAAAAGCAATGGAATCCAACATGCTCCCAAACACTTTAAAAATGTTTCCAAGCAACATCCGATAGCTGTAAACCAATCATTCTAGAAAAGCCATGTGATCATGTGATTCACAAATATCCCATATAATGAACACATTGTAAGTGTCCCTATAAAAGTGTTAAATTCTGATATATGTATAATTTCCATAACAGCACTTTGTGTGTGGTGTGGTGTGGTGTGGTGTGGTGTGGTGTGGTGTGGTGTGGTGTGGTGCGACGCGGCGTTGTGGTGGTGTGTCATGTCATGTGTGCAGTTAGGTATGCTGTGTTTTTGCATCCACAGAGCTTGTCACTCATAAATTAATTTTGTATATTAATATTAATGTGAACCATGAAACCACTTTTTTTCTTGTTCAAGGACAGACATTAACCTTTGAGCTGCTGCATGAAATATTCAAATCATGGTAGTTACATGGAATCACATTTCACAAACCCCACTAAAAGTGCAGAAAAGTCATTTTAACTAGAATGTACTTTGACACTATAAAAATGTTGGTTGGTTTATTGTTTCACGCTGCACTCAGCAATATTCCAGCAATATGACAGCGGTAAATAATCCAGTCTGGACCAGATAATCCAGTGATTGATATCATGAGCATCGATCCACGCAATTGGGGATCGATGACCGTGCATCAACCAAGTCAGCGAGTCTGACCACCTGATCCCTTTAGTCACCTCTTCCGACAAGCATAGTCGCCTTTTACGGCAAGCATGGGTTACTTAAGACCTATTCCAAGTTGGTCAGGGGTCACTTAATATGGTGAATACGGTAGTGTAGTTTTTCTGAACATATATTGTTATTAAATCTGAAAGATTGGTTACTAGTGGTTGGTAAGAAACAGGGATATCGAGTGATTCAGGACACGGATGACTATTAAGTTAACCGTAAAATGACATTGCAATATATCGTCCGGGAAACAACACAATCTCCTGGCCTTTCTGAAAGTTCATGAAAACAAGGCTATAAATATTAGGTGATGAATAAACGTATAAATAACACAATATCCTTACAAATATATCTTTTTCAGGTTACCATAAAACAGAAAAGCCTTATTTTCACGGATGTTTAAATATCTGTAGAATACTGCATTTTTAGTGATAATGGACATGATTTAAAACCCCAACACCTTGTGTCCGAGGATTATTACTGGTTGTATAGAAACTACAGCATTAACACCAAGGAGGGCTATCTCACCTTGTCACCTGGAAACTAACTACGGGACCACGCTGACCCCTAGGGGAGCCTCTTCGCCCTTATACTGACCAACATCCAACTTTCTGAGTATCGCCTGCTACTTTGGGCTTCAGGCTCTGGATCAACTAGTTAGACTCCACAAAATTATGACAAATACCTGGTGTCATCACTATTTGATAGTAAATCATAAACACATGCTTATGATAAAATCAGAACTGTGTAATGGCCTCTTCTTTTGGGGGAGATTGGAAAGGGTTTTGTCACCTTCATTTATATGAATAATAAGTTGAAGGACAACATGGTGACTTGGTACTCTTTAAATAACAGGTGAGCTATGATCAGGTGAACACGGGAAACCTATTTGTACCTGCTTCGCCTTCAAGCACTGCACACATATTTAGGATTCCAAGCTAATTCCTACTGCAGGCAAATTGGGAAAAACCCATAATCTGTTCAAAGTTGGGTTTTTTGAAATGTTATCTTTTTTCGTAAATTCAGATATATCTAAACACTAGAATGAGAATATATACCATATATTGCTGTGTATAAGGCGAGTTTTTCATACCTAGAATGAGAGGGTTAAGAAGGGGGGGCGTCTTATACACGGAGTCAAAGATCTCACGTTTTTTTCCAGGCGTTTTACTTTCAGTTTCCACTGGTGTCAACCGGGGTTCGATAGCCAGCCCAGCATTTGACAATAAAACTTCGCATTTCATCCTAAATAACTGTTCCAATAACTATTTCCTTACATAAACATGATTTGTATCTGTTTTCCTTGAATAAAGTTGAATATTTTCTGCAAATAAAGTGCTGCTGCAAGTGAGTTTTCAGTAAATGAATCGATGGTTAGGAATTGGAGGAAAGCGAAGCTGTCACTGGAGGAGCTGCCAAAGACAAAGAAGGCCAGATGGGGATCAGAGACTTCATTCAAGCCACTGGAAGATATTCTTTTTCAGTGGATCGGTGACTTGCGGCAGTGAGCATGCATCGTCACACACGTGATGATACAACATATTTATCGTACAAGGAAAGACATGGATCTCCCAGAGTCATTCAAGGCATCGGGAAACTGGTGTTCGCGCTTCTTGAGGCGACTAAACCTCGCACTGAGGCAGAAAACCCACATTGCCCAGAAACTTCCTGCTGAAGTTGAAACTAAAGTGGAGTTTTTCCATCAGTTTGTGATCCATGAGTGGAAGAAAGTAGATTACGATTTAAGCCAGATCGGCAATATGGACGAAACTCCTGAACTTCGACATGCCTGGATCAAGGACCATTGACACCAAGGGAACTTCAACGGTGTCAGTTCGTACATGTTGAGCGGAAAAGCAACACTTTACCGTGGGGTTAACCTGCATGGCCGATGGCCCCGATGCTAATTTTCAACACAAAATGGCGACGTGTGCTGGAGTTACACACGCGACCAATCATCATAGAAAAAAACAACCCAACATAAACATATTCTTATTGCAAATGTAAGGTTTGTGTGTGCACTTGTGATGTGCTTCATTCCAGGTAGCTTTATACACAGAGTATAGGATTTTTGGTCGATTTTGAAGGCGTGTACAGGGGGGTCGTCTTATACATGGGATCGCTTTATACACAGCGATATACGGTATATGTCAACCTCTTTGTTAATAATAAAGAAGTTGACATCCATAAATATTCCATCTCTTATGTGTAGAGCTTCTAAATGGCATTCAAAGACTATTTAAACATTGTTTTCAAGCAACTGCTTCCTCTTTGGTGGTCCTGTTATCACTGACATGTCGCCAAGGCAGAGCCATAACATTCGTTATTGAAACAGGAACTGGCAAATTCATTAT